ATATTTACCTGAGTTGGTCTTTTAGCCTGTGGCATTTGAGGAAGTGAGGAAGTTGTTGACAAAATTGTTGGAGAAATAATTAAAGCTCTGGAAAATATGTGATATCTGGCAGTTGGAAAACAGGCCCCAGCAAGGAGCCTGTTTTCTGATTGTCCTCATGATTGTGGGCTATCATGATGACTGTCCTTATCCTCTCTGTGACAAATACTGTCAAACACTGGGCCATCTGTGAGGATTGGGAATTGGAGGCATTTTTGATTGATTACACTTTTATTTGAGTAGGTGGATCTGACCCTGGCCCAAAAAACCCTGGCCTTATGCTTGGAGTCTTGATAGGGGGGGGGAAAGGTTTATACTTAAGCCAAGCAAAATAGAGTGGATGTTAAGTCAGAAGCCAGCTGAATCCAAGTTAATATTAAATATAACTCTTAGTAGGGTTATGCTTACTCAGCACAGGTTTACTACCACAGGTTTCTTTTGGATTCATAGTACCTGCTACAAAAGCAGTTGGAAGCTGTAGCCTATACTGCCTTTTGTTCAGCTCCAGTCAATGCACAAATTGTAGATTGGATTACTATAATTTATTCTTAATGGAACTGCTCTCCAAGACCATCCAGGAACTTCAGCTGGTCCTGAATGCATCAGCAACATCAGTTAAACTCACTGAGAAATCTAGACATTGCAAAGTTACAGTACTGTTCTGAGAACGACATTGATTAGCATGTGTTTTCTGAGTGCACCTTAAGTTATTGGTCATTAAAATTCCTTTTGGTTTGGAGCCTCAATATCTAAGACATCTTCTTTCCCAATTAGAGCCAATTCTGATGACTGAGATGAATGCTAAAGATTTCTTGATTTTAAATGATTATAACCAAGAAAAATGCCAAAAGCATTTGAAGGCTAGATTAAATCGAGTAAAATTGAATCTGCAAAATATTTTGTTGCTTATGCAGGAAGGGTGTAAAAAATAAATAATGTAATAAAAGATAATGTCAAGAGAAGTGCAGTATTGCTTCTGGGCAAAGGTTTAGTGGACCACACCCTGTTAAAAAACAAGTTATTCAGATAAGAAAGCTGGTTGATTTACATGCCTTCAAGCTGTGGCAAATGGCAAAGTTATCTTCCTTACTTATATTTTTGGAGTCCATTTCTGCAAATCCAATCATGCTATGGAATTATGCTATGAAATATATTGAAATAAAGTATGATCTTAAAAATATAACACGTATATCTGGTTAATTAAACATTAGAAAATTCAGATGCAATTCACAATATATGGTACATGAAATATTAAGATATACCATAAATAATGCTTGCAAATAGAAATAAAGCAGCACTATAGGAGACAAAAACAAAATTATTGATTATTAAGTAGATAAAATCTACCAGTACCTGAACAGAGAGAGCTCTGAATAATAAATGTACCGCCTACTTTGTTTACATACCATTGATCTCAAAAAATTGCTGCTTAAGGTGTGATAGGTGCTGAATACAGGTGAAACAAATGTATTCTGTATAAATAGTTTTAATTACACTATCGCTAAATATGCCCAGAGCCAGGTAATTATTAGTGTATATTTCTTCTTTGTTTCCTCACAATATCCCTTATGGTCATTTTTGTGGATTGAAACAGATTCATCAGAAATTACCCAAACTCAAAGTCTTGTGTCCTTCAGATGGACTTGGACTCCCATAATTGCCATTCATTATGGTTACCACTCTTACTAGCAATTCTTAGGTTTAGAGTTTTAACACATTTGGAGAACACTATTCTATGTTAAATGGATGTCATCTAACACAGGAATTGAGACAGGATAGGCTATAAATGTTCTCCAAGATTGTTTGCTTTCATCAGACAAAGCAAATCTGCTCAGCAGTATATTTACATTCATTGAAGATAGAATCTTAAATATGAGATCCTCTCAAAGAGTCAGTTCTTTGAGCTGAAACTGTCATATTCAAGGTAGCAAAATATGTATTAGATCATTGTGATATCAGTTAATATATTGTTTCATATATATTATATTTGTAAAGTTTAGATGCAGCAGCATTCTGTATGCATCAGTTTGCAGTGTTGTGATTACATGTTTCAGAGAAAGGTCTTTGAATGCTTTGTTTCTTGTCATCAAATATTTGCAGTCAGTAAGGATACTGTAATCTAAAATTGTGGTTTACAGTTACCTTAACTGCAGAGATCAGAAAATCTGAGGCCTTCATCACTATTAATATCAATCCTCTCTGGGTTGGACTGTGGTAAGTGAAAATAGGGAACAGTTGCCAGGAGAAATATGAGCATTTGTTTCTTCAGGCTGAGCATACTGAAAACCTGTCACTCAAGTTTGTATATGTTGTGTTTTGCTTTGCATATTATCTCAGGAAAACTTAAGTGTCATTTGTAATGACTACAATTCTTGATTTCTCCTGTGAGAAACCTTTTACAGAATTTAATTTTTTAATAACTGTATTGTGAATACTATTATTATTAGAGATAATTTATATGAGAGTTATTTCTTTAGAAACTCAGGAAAGTGTTTTAGCAAGATGGTGTTAATGCTGACCAAATTCTAATCAAGAATTTGTTGGTTTCCAACTGCTGATGGATATGATAAGTACTGAGAGGCTTTTCTAACTTTTTTCTCCCCACTAGGCTTTTGCTCAGTTTGATCCTGAGGGTGATGGCACAGTAGATGTGGAAAATATGCTGGAGGTTCTCAAGAGTTCCAGTGGTGCAAATTTGCAAGGAGAGCTTAGTTACGTAATCCGGCAGATGCAGAGTTGTTCACTTATTCCAGGTAAAAAAGAAGGAAGAAACATGTTCTTGTCATTTTCACTTAAATTATCTTTGATTTATGCACTGGATAAATCTTTTCACAGGCCTTGGAGAGTCCTGGTTTAGATGGATTCAGCTTTTAAGAAACGTGATGTTTCAAGTTGTGTACATTCATATATACTTTGTCTACTGCCTGAAATAAAATATTATTTAAGTTCATGGAGCTCTTCCAAATTTCTACAGAGAAGAGTGGAACAAAATTATATTTTCAATGTCCTTATTTTATCTCCAGTTTTTTTTTTTAAGCCAACTGAACCTTACAACTTAGAACCGGAAACTTTTATAAAAATGCCTACAATTATGAAAATATGTTCATAGGTCCTTAAACCAGGAATTAATTGTCAATTTAAGATAATACTGTGGAACCATTTATTACTTTTTATGTGGATACATAATCAAATCATGGATAGCATTTAAATGATAAGTTCCTGCTAAGCAATAATATCAGATTCCACACAGTCAAAATTAACCCATGCATTCATTATAGCATTTATGCTTAAAATAATCTTTTCATGAGTTTTACCAGAAATAGCTTTTCTCTCTTTTTTCCCAGCCCCATTTGATTGATTGATTATGTATTATAAAGTTGCCAATTCAAACACCACATAGATAGATTTTGATAATCTGTCCCTAACCTGTTTTTTTAGGTCATCCAATGATGCGCTCAAAGCCACTATAACTGAGTCCATCTGTTTGACTACTAGTCATCCTCTTTTTCTTTCTTTCCATCTTTCCCTGCATTAGTTTTCACCAGAGAGTTAGGTCTTCACATAATGTGTCCGAAACAGGATGATTTGAATCTGGCCATTTATGCTTTGAATGTGAACTCTGATTTTGTTTGTCTTCTGAGGGTATTCTCCAGCATTCAATTTAAAAGCACCTATAATTTCCATTTGTGATGAGGTTTTATTAAACTCCCAGAGTGAATATATATGGGAAAGGATATGGTAGAATAAAGTGAGTTTCCCCACCAACTTTTATATGCTTTTCCTTAAGGACTTTTGCTTTTTCTTGCAGGTTTTATAGACATATTTTCAGACTCAAATGAGCGCCTTAGTCTTCATGCTACTATGATTCTTAGATTCCTGCATCGGCATCGTATCACCAGCACTGTTATCCCATATCCCGTCTTGGAATANACAGGAACAGGAAACAGAGAGGTGGGGCTGAACAGAGAGTATAAAGCCAGGAACTTTCAACACTTCTTTCTCTTTTTTCTTCTTCACCCAACATCTTGAGGCGTGTGATCACCTTTTCTGTTCAGGACCTGAAGCCATGTGGCCCTGTCCACCATTAAACCAACTTTCCAAGCAGCCTCCATGTTTCCAGTGTCTTTTTCCCCACTTGGAGCTGAACCCAGAAGGACATTTCTTCCAACTATAAAAGCTGGCTGGGTGACTTTGGACCATTCTCTCCGTCTCAGTCCAACCCATTTCAAAGGGTTGTTGTTATTGCAAGGAAAATGGAGGCATAAGTATTAGATATGGTCACTTCCTTGAGTTATATACAAAAAAGTATAAAATAATAATAATATAGTAAGATTTACCATGTCACAGAGACTTCTAATGACAATGCTGGGTCAATGAACGGTTGTATTCAAGCAACACGTTTAAAGACGTTGCTGAATTAACCTATTACCTGGGTCATGAATCACAAACTAATTAAACAAGCTAGACTTGCAGGACATATCAATGTGCTGATACACAATTTAAGAGAGAGAGTGTGATTTTTTTTTTTAATGCAAGGGATGTGCTTTGACTTGGTGTGCCTTATAAGAGTAAGGAAAAAGGGGTAGTCTGATATCAAAATTTGTTTTTATTAGAACACCCCTGCTTTGTCCCTGCCAAGCACCAGCTGTTGTAAAAAAAGAAAAAAGCAGTTTTGAAATGTAGGAGGGCAGTTTATAAGAATGCATTTTTGCACTGACTTGAGGATTTTTAATTATTTGGTTTGCCTGAGAAATCTTGCAATTTGAGGGGTATTGTTGAATGCAGGGTCTTTAACCCTTGCTGTTTACCTAAGTCAGCAGTTCTCAAACACTGGATGGTAGAAGTAATGTATATCTACTGAGAATCAGCGTGAAGGCATTGTAAATCACACAAGGAGGTAAATATCTTACTGCCATTGCTTTCCAATCCAGCTGGAAGCATGCAGGTGGTAAGTTATATTACAAAACACGTTACCCAGGCAGTCTCTGGGGGAATGGCTGCGTTAGCTAATCAGAACCTCCATTTTCGAAGGCATTCTACCCATTACAACTTCCTGATGCCACCGACTGCATAGCGATTTCTCCATCTTCTACTCCATAGAAAACAAACTCCTGCTTGATGAGATAAACCACCAGAGGGTCTTTTTTGATAGATATCAATTCAAGCACATCTATCTTGTTTCTGCCTAGTGGGGCTCATCTGTTTTTCATTTCTATGCAGCCAATCTGGATCTGCAAACAAATCCCCTTTGAAATAAACTGATAGCAAACAGAACTCTTTACTAGCACTGATGATGCCAACTACTATATGGCGGTACAGTAGTATTCACTACTGTATAGTGAAATATAGTGCAATATCAGGGGTTTTCAATTCCATTGTATATGAATGTGAAGGATGTGTGTGTTTTGTTTATTTTATTTTATTATAGTTATTAGTGTGTTTCCCTGAAAATTTTCTTTTGACCCCCAGAATAAGCACTTGGCCTTATTTTCAAGGGTGTGTGTGTGTGTGTGTCTTATTATTTTTGAGGTGCAGGAGGTGGCGAGCGTGGTCACCTCATGGCTGCTGCTGTGTTGCAATATTTTTCAGGGTGGTCTTATTTTCAGGGAAGGTCTTATTTTAGTGCATGCACTCAAAAGCCCAATAAGACTTATTATCTGGGGAGGTCTTATTTTCAAGGGAAAAGGTTATAATGTACACTGAAGATGGCATTTAATTTCGTTGTACATGGTGCAGTGACAATAAAGTAAACTAACTATAGCCGAGTTTGGGTAATGATTTTTTCGGTAATCTCCAAGAAAAACACAACTACAAAGAGCACCAAGGAGCCCTCATTTCAACCCTGGGCTACAAATATTCTTCTTTATTGGTGCCCTTTGAAATAAGCAGGTGACTCTTCCCTTTTCTTATCTCTATGCCGCAAGTTTCCCTCAGCCAAAATTAACACTATCGGACAAACACACTCTTGCCTCTGCCGTCAAAAAACGAATCCCGCTCATCTTTTGCGACATTATGAGATGCTCGCGCACGTTAGGTTATCATGATATATACTCTTAGCTCTAGGCGGCTGTGATTTTTTGCGACTCTGCCACAAAATGATGCCAGCCCTCTGTTGCTGTAGAGACCCCCTCCTCCCCTTGCTCAGGTTTGCGGCGTTGCCGAAAAGCGATGTTATCACTTTATTAGACGACAGGGGGCCATCTTTCGCCGCGCCGCTCGGGCCCTGGACCACACCATATTTTGCAGCTCTGCTGTACGGCAGGGTCGTAAACCGCTGCTGGGCGAGCGGCCTTTGCGACGTTTGGGCGGAAATGTGTCCTGAGGGAAGAAGACGCGAGAGAGAGAAAGAGCGAGACGGCCCTTCCTGATCCGTGACAGGAGTTCGCCTGAAGGGAGGGAGCCGCAGGGCATAAAGGCGGCCCGAGGGCTTCATGGGGAACGTGGGTAGCCACAGCGAGGGCGAGGAAGAAGAGGAGGAGGCGGCAGCGGAAGGAGGGGGAGGAGGAGGAACGGCAAGCATCGTCACCTGGAGCAATAGTAACGGCAACTGGGCCGCTGGCACCAGCGAGTCCCCTCCACCGGGAGCTATGGAGGCCGCCTTCCCGGGCATAGCTTCCCCGCCGCCGGCTTCGTCGTCGTCGTCGTCTTCCTCGGCTGCCTCGACCCTCCCGCCGCCGGCGGTGTTGCTCGGACAGGCCCGGCTGCGCGAGGAAGCCGCCGCCCGCCTTCGCGAGGTGCCCTCGGCCGAGCCGCTGCTCTCGCGCCACCACGCCGCCCTGGTGCGCTGGCTTGAGGAGCGCCTGGGCCGCGGGGAGCACGCCATCAGCCTCGAGCAGCTCTGCGAAGCCCTGGAGATCCGCGCTGCACCCGCGCAAGGGACGGCCACTGCCGCCACCGCCGGGACAGGTGGGGACGCCGCTGCCGCTGCGGCCGAGGAACGAGTCAGGAGCGAAGAGGTGAGTGCGGGAGGGAACGGAAAGCTCAGGCTGGCTGGGTGTCAACTGCACCTGCAAGGGCGAACGGGCAGCTAGCGTAACGTTTCTCTTCCAAGACTGGCAAAAAAGACTTGTTGCGCTCAGAATTTCAGGGCAACTTTCTTCATGTATATGATACCAGAATCATCAAACAATCAGAATAACACAGCTAGAAGGAACCTTGTAGGTCATCTAGTCCAGTGTTTTTCAACCACTGTGCCGCGGCACACTAGTGTGCTGTGACATAGTGTAAGGTGTGCCATGGGGAAAACACCCGCCTATATTGAATATAGGCAGAGTTAAATTTTTTTAACATTTTCTAATGGTGGTCTGCCTCGTGATTTTTTTCATGAAAAAAGTGTGCCTTTGCACAAAAAAGGTTGAAAAACACTGATCTAGTCCAACCCCACTCCTCCCAAACAGGAGACAGATGGCAGTCCAGTCACTTCTTGAAAGCCTCCAGTGATGAAGCTCCCACAACTTCTCAAGTTAACTTCATTGATCAATTGTTCTCACTGCCAGAAAATTCCTCCTTATTTCTAGGTTGAATCTCTCCTTGTTCAGTTTCCATCCACTTTCCCTTGTCTGGCCTTCAGGTGCTTTGGAAAATAGCTTGACCCTCTCTGTGGCAGCCACTCCAATATTGGAAGACTGTTATCATGTCTCCCCTGGTCCTTCTCTTCACTAGACTAGCCCTGCTCAGTTCTTGTAACCATTCTTCCAATGGAATAGCAATCAACTAGTGGAATAGTTTGCCTTCAGAGGTTGTGGGTGCCCCAACACTGGAGGCTTTTAAGAAACTGGACAGCTATCTATCAGGAATAGTATAGTTCTTTTGTAAGAACAGGGAGTTGGACTAGATGACCTCCAAGATCCCTTCTAACTCTATTACTGAACTGCAGTCTAGAGCTCACTTCCTGCCAGCTTCCACCATGCTCAGACTTAAAAAACAATGTTCAAAATAACGGAATGAACTCACTTAAAAAAAAATCAGGCTGTGTGTGTGTGTGTGTGTGTGTGTGTGTGTGAGTGAGTGAAAGAGAGAGAGACTGTTTTTGTTTTCCACTAAAGATGCATGGAGTGACTCATAAACTCTGGGTTACATTTAGTACTAAGTGTATTATTGGAATTTCATCTTTGACTTTCTCCTGAACCAATTAGCAGGCTTCAAGCATATGCAGTTTTTACCAAGGATGCCATTAGGGAACGTGCCATTAGAGAATACATTTGAAATAATGAGATATGGAATGTCTACAAACATATTTTTAAACCATGTCTAGTTGAACTTAGAGGGATGAATACCAATTGTCAGTATGATTTTAATGGAGACCTTTCAGCATGTTTATTTCTAGATAAATACAGAGTACTAATCCTAGTGATTCCTTTTGGGGCATCAGTGTTATGCTGAAAAAATAGTAAGCAAAATAAATTAGAATCTACTGGAGTTGGCAGACAGTAAAATTTAGGTTGAGTAAGGATGGCAAGAGATAAGTGAAAAAGGTAAGTAAAATCTAATGAAAATATTTATACCTTTCCCCCCCCATACCTATCATGATTCCACTATGTCTGTACACTGTCTCATACATTACTGTTCGTTCTTTAATCCCACTCTATTCAACTTTTCATTTTTTTCTGACCAACTCTTCTGTATAACAACATAGTTAGAATCATGTTTTATTTTTCTTCTTCTGGTAAGCATTCATTCACCATGTATTTCCCCTGCCTATCAATTTTTCTTAAATTTCTGTCTATTTTCTCAGATTTAATAAATTTTCTACCAAATTAGGCAAATTTTATCTACTTATTCTATTTTTTTTATTTATCTCTAAAGCTGGCAATTGTTTACTGCACTTTCTTGGTCCAACACATTTTTGTTATATTATTGTAGATACATATTCTTTGTCGTATCATATAGTGCAATATTTGTGGCAACTTCTTTAGGTTCTTAGCCAACA